ATCTCCCCAAAACCCCAAAACCCCTCATCTGAAATTTTAACTTCTTACAATGTAATAATATCACAATTCTTCGTATTATTTTAAAACTTGAAAATATTGTGCTATTTTCGCATCACTTTACGAGTACTTCAATATCCAAGGATGAGCCAAAAGCTAAATACTGGAAGCCCTGTCCTCAGGTAATTTTAGCAGACATTTATCAACAAAATCAAATAATTCATCACTGAAATTTCCATTTTTAGGAACATTAGGACTGGGTTTATTCGCTATCAAATTATGCATCTCTAAGAAATCTCTTGTCTCTGGATAGGGAAACTCACCAGTTATCATCTCAACTATTACAATCCCAAGACTCCATATATCTCCTTTCGCTGAATAGTTTTCTCCTTCCATTCTTTCTGGGCTCATATAGGTGAGAGTCCCAACAAATGTCTTGGCTAATCCACCTGTTTCATCTAGTTCTGTAGCTATTCCAAAGTCTGTTAGTTTAGCAACTCCTTATGTATTTACCAATATATTATCTGGCTTAATATCTCGATGCATCTGTTTTTTGCAAATATTCAAATAGGAGAGACCACATAGAATTTACTGTACTAACTTTGACAGTATAGGTTCTGGTATTAATGCATGGCCCTGCTACCAATCTGGATTTTTCTTTGCAAGTTTTATAATACTCTTTAAACTTCCCATATTCATATATTCCAAAGCAACCTTTACAGCTCCTTCCTCATATAAAGCACCACAAAATTCAACTAGAAAAGGGCATGAGTTCTTTGATAGAGATCTGAGATCATTAATCAGCTAATGGCGTTTCCCTTTATCAAAAGCATTGATTGATTTTATAGCCAAATATCGTCCCGATGGTTTATGAAGAGCTTTATACACATATCCACTAGCTCCATTTCCTATAACTTCTTGGATATCCAGATCCTCCTTCGCTAAATTACCCACTATTATCTAGCCAGTAGATATGTTTCTCATTCCTTCTCTGCCGATTTCGTAATCTTCTCTCATAACTTTTAGACCTTCACTATCAAGTTCACATGACATCGAGCCAAGTTCCACACTCTGGTCCAAGACTAGGTTATTTTTATTTATTCCTTTCTTTTACTCTTGAGTTTATTGTTTTTATTTATCAGCTGCTGAGTTATAGTTTGAAATGCTAAGATCTTCCTTGCTCTAATTATTGGATTCAACATTCTGAATACTTAATTAAGGCCTTTTTATTTAAACTCCTGCTCCTTTAGATTTCTTATTTTTACTATCAGATTAGCCATCATCATCTGCTACTGAAGATTGCTTTTTACTCTCTTCCTAATCATTGTAATCTTATTTTGGGCTTTGATTGTTACTTTATGATTTCTTATTATTCTTGATATCATCATCAGAGATTATTAAGTCTAATTTCAAGTTTCTTTTCATCATTTTTATTTTTAAATTAATCAATTCAAATGGCAATTAAGTTATGGGGTTTTGGGGTTTTGGGGTTTTGGGGACAAA